TAATAGAATCCTTAGATTCAAGTCTTGGTGATTTGTTAATCACAAGAAGCCGTGATTGTGAGATACAAATTACATATGACTGAATCTTAAATCGTCCGTGGTCGAAGTAATAACGAGATACGGATATCGTCATTATGGATAGACTATCGCGTGTAGCATTCTTACTTGTGAAGTAAGTAGCACAAGAAAATAAAACCATAGCCGTCATTCTTGTTCTCTGTGTGGATCACCATTGGAGGCTGGACAATTGGATAGCTTGGATTGCAGATCGTGATCATTGGAGTTCAAGAAAAAGCAAAAGTGTTTGCGGAATTCATCAAAGATATAATTCTAATCATGGTTTCTATCTAAACACATTGCAGATCCTCGTTTGGGAATTGAAAATTGTTTTATTTCCACTGTGCATGATTAAGTAAATTCCCAAAAAAAACAACATTGTCTGCAACAGCCAACATCATGGCATGCTGTGGCAGTATTCTTCTTGGGTTTCTGTCAGTCATGGCAAACAATCATGGCTGATTCAAAGGAAATTGAATCCCATACTTGGAAAGAAGTATTTCTAGTCCTTGGATTCAATTGGAAGGTAACCAGAGAAATCATATCACCCATGGTGAACGCTACCCCATTTTTGGATCCAAATCAGCCTAATCAGGTTGCCTTCTCCAAGGACGTACCTCTAAAAGTTCCAGGCAGCAACTTCAAATCCTTCGTACGCCTCTATATTCCTACTGAACTCCCACGAAAAACCAAGCATCCGGTTATTATCTACATACACGGAGGAGGTTTTGTGCAGTATAGCGGTGCAACTGCAGCCTTTCATTACCACCTCAATAACTTATGAATACCGGCTGGCACCCGAAAACCCTCTCCCGGTAGCTTATGAAGATGCCTTGCATGCTATACTTTGGTTGAAGTCCCAGGCACAACATTGTCTTCACCGCGATCCATGGTTAGATGAGTTTGCTGATTTTTCAGAGGTTTTCATAATGGGTGAAAGCGCAGGTGGCAACATAGCTTACCACGCAGCCCTTCGAGCAACAAAGTTTAATCTTCGACCAATGAGAATCCAAGGGGTGATATTGGATCAGGCATTTTTTGGTGGAGTTGAAAGGACATCATCAGAGCTTAGACTTGTTGAAGATGCTCGCCTTCCTTTGTACGTAAATGATGCCTATTGGTCGTTGGCATTGCCATTCCAAGCAAATTGAGATCACGAATTCTCCAATCCATTTATTGATGGGTTCGAGAGAGTCAAGCGTGTGCCAAGATGGTTTGTGAAAGATGACGACGTAGACCCATTGATTGATCGGGCAAAGAAGTTTGTACGCATGTTAGAGTTAAATGAAGTGCCAGTATTTTATCGATTTAATCCAGGAGCTTTTCATGGTGTAGAGTTGCAAAACGTGACAGCCGCTCTTGCCTTCTTTCATGTTGTGAAAAATTTCATCTACTAAATGTGACAGCCCCTCTTGCCTTTTTTCATGATGTGAAAATTTTCATCTACTGTTGAAGATTAATAATGAAGGCTGTGTTTCATCTCGAAATGATAATGTGCGGCTAGGAAAATTTGACAAAATAAATTTGGGATTTGCTTAGTTAATCTTGTGCAGCTTTTGATGATTTAGGAATTACTATAGGGATAAATTTATTTTTGAGAATTTGGGTAAATTTCCGGATTTACCACTTGATCCTCCTTCGAGAAAATACTAAATTCTACTATATGAAAAGTTATTACAATCTCATATTAAACTTATGAGAGACCAAATGTCCAAGTATAACGCAAAAATATTTATATTAGGTTAGACTAGAAAAATCTTTGAGATCTCGCCCTATGACACGTCATGACTTTCTTAGTGATAAATAAAATAATAAGAGGGAGCCTCTATTTTAAAATTATATTTAAACCTGGGAAGCTTCTATTTGTAGGGACCTAATATGAGATCCTTGCAGTAACTTATGCTACTGAGATTTATTTTACAAATCTAGTGATTTACAAATCTCAAAAAACAACACATTGAAAAACCCTCAAGATGTATTTCTATGTTCCAACCGCACTGGGGTCATGAATCTCTCTCAAAACCTTACCACCATATCCAAAAACTAACAAGAGTTGCTTCAACGGACCAAATAACAAACCGGAACTACACATTAATAATCTCACTTGAAAAAAACACATGATATGTGTTTATCTCATAGAGTGAACAAGAAATCTCCCTACAAGAAGTTGGAGATTGAAGAACACTTGTAAGTGTATTTTATACACTTATCTAGGCAATTAAATTGAATTATTTTAAGTGATTTTGATGAATTATAGTTTAATTATGTGTGTTAGATTCAACTCAATGTAAATTGGTGGAATTAGAAGAAATGAATGAAAAATTGGTGAAAACAAAAGAAATCCAAAGTTCAGAAGCCAAAGTGTAAACATCTAATAGTTGATTCGGACAACAAAACAATGATTGAAGATTACATACGATCAATTGGATGCAACTAGAGGTCAAATGAGTAAAATATAGTCAAAATATTTTCACTAATCAATTTCCAACCGAAAAAGTAATGCTCCAAATTTTCAACCTCATACTGAGACCAATTTTTAGAATAGCAAATGTTCAAATTTGACATATTATATTTGAGTAGAAGTTGTCCATCTGAGGTAGCTTTCCAACACACATTGAATTATATCAATTGGATATCAGAAGAGAAACTCATGACAAAACGACGCATGCGAGACCCAGTCGGAGGATTGACCTCAAAAGAAAATTGAAGAGCAATGGCAATAAGTGATTGAAAGTAAATCTTCCAAGCTATAGTTGGGATAGAGACCCAAGTCATTCTTAAACTTGCTTTCTTGCAGCAATATTCTCAGTCCGAGAGTTTTGGAGAGAAAAGAAAGCTTCAGAGCCACTTTGAGGTTCCCTCTGAAATGAGACATGGAAGGGCCACTACGAAGAAGTTCCGAAAGTTGCTGGTGTGGGAGAGGGACTGACACTGGCGCATCCACACTGTTATAGTGTGAGAACTTCTAGTACAATTTTTGGATTTAATCAGAATTTAATTCTATTGAAATTATACACACGTTTGCCCTATTTTTTTTGACTCATAAATACAAAACTTAGCCAAAACATTGAAAAACTCTCTCTTGCCTCTTTATAAACAATAATATCATCAAATTCATTAAAAAAAAAATTAAGAGGCCAATTTATCACTTTTGCGAGAAAAGATTAAGCCCCTAGCAAGAATTGAAGGTCAATTACATCTAGATTTTGAAGAATTCAACCCTAGAATTGAAGAACAAGATTTTTGCATTATTTCATGATTCTGGTGATTTTTTTTTTATTATTCTTCTTGTAATTTATTTAAAAGAATGCTAGGCTAGATCCATTTTTGTATTGGATAAGACAAACCTTATTGTTTATTTATTTTAATTCAAGACTAGTAATTTAATTTATTTCTTATGTTTCTTGATTAATTTTGCATAACCATTACATTATTCATTTGCTTGATCACCAATTAGATAATTAGTTGCTTGTTGTAGTGTCAAAAAACAATCAATAAGTTTAGAACGCAACAAAATTCATGCATGTGCAACAGATGTTACTAGTAGTAACATTTATCATGTTTGAAATCATATCGATAATTCAAAATTTCTAATCATTCGAATTTGGGCTAAGAATGAATTAGGGTCATGGTTAAAATATATTTAATTTGTTTTGGAAAAGAAACTTCTATACATTAACTTTATCGATTGTCGAGAACACATAAATATGACTAAATTACAAATCAAGAATTGAAATAGATAAACAATGTGAGAACTCTAAATCCAATACAGTCATTCATAATTTGATAAAATCAAACTTTTACATCTTTTTTAGATTATTTTAAGATAAATCAAATTGATGAGAACTCTAAATCCAATACAGTCATTCATAATTTGATAAAATCAAACTTTTACAGCTTTTTTAGATTATTTTAAGATAAATCAAATTGATTTGAAATTAATTCATTGTGGGGTGATAGAACTGTAAACTTGCAGGATTTTACTGAACAAATACAGTAATAGAGAAAAGTCTAAGAAATGATTTATCTGCATGGAATGAAGATTTGGGTAACAAAAAGTTGTATTTATACTCTTGCTGCCAACCATTGATCATCCATCTAATGCATCTGTCCAGAGTAACTAACGATTAAGCTACCGTTGATAAACAACTTATGAAGAAAGTCACATTTCACCAAACATCGCCAATTTTTATAGTTGTTATCAGGAAAGTTTGTTATTATTATTGATTTTATTATTTGATTCTCTTTCTATTTATTTTTCTCTTTTTATCGTTCCATTGTCCTATGTAAGACATGGTCCAACCATTCGAATTTAATTCCTTAAGAGATTATAATAAAGGGAAAAGAACACCACAAAGCAACAAATTAGGATGGACCTCCATCAAATACTTAGGCTAGAGTGGTCAATCCAAAGAATATACATTTTTAAATCGGTAAATGTAAATTACTATAGATCAAAAACTCATGTACATATATTCCGAGCATTCTCGAGCGAAATAACAATCATGTGGAACATACAACTACTATGGGCAAACCCAAGCAAACAAAAGAAAAACGATATATAAACGAAATGGATTAGTAACCCATAGCTAACGACTCACAATGAATCAAAACATTTGGCTACAAATACAACATAACTTTGTATGCATATGTTTTAATTCGTCTTGGAGTGCACTCGACTTGTGAACTTAGATTCTCGAAAATCCTCCTATTCTATGCCATCCATATGTGGTAAACAGTAGTAGCAAGTGCAATTTTCTTAACTTTACTTTGCCAAGTCATGCCTCGGGCTTCCTTTTTAATCCATTTCAATGAGCTTGACAGAGTAGGCATGTTACGTGTGATGGCCACCCAAGCGCGAATCTGTCCCCAAACTGAGTTGCTAAATGAACAGGAAAAAAATAAGTATTGTGCAATTTCTTCCGTCTTTCCTCAAAATATGCAATTCGTGTCCAATTCCATGTATTGTAGCTTGTCTTTAGTTAGCAATCTAGACTGAACTCCTAGCCAAAGAATGAAAGCATGCTTCGGGGTGATGGAGGCGTTCCAAACTGTGGATATCCCTTGGTACCCTTATGCCTGAAAAATTCATAAGCTACCTTGATGCTGAATCTGTCCGCCACAGTCTACTCAGTCAGTTTGTGAATTCCAGCCTGAATGCTTCGTTCAGGTCCTATGATGTCGTCCCTGATTTCCAGAACTGTTTTAAGTAGAGAGAGTTATCTTTTTTCACCATCCATTCCCAAATGTTAGTCCTACGAAGGTGCACCTGATTGACCCATTGAATCCAAAGGGTATCCTTTTTACTATGGATGTTCCAAAGTGTTTTCGAGAGTAGTGCAACATTCCAACTTTTGATATCTCTAAATCGAAGTCCTCCATCTTGCTTTGGTAAGCAAATAGTATTCCTAGCCACCAATGGTTTTTTGCATCCCCATAGGAAATTCCGACACATACTACTGACTTTGCAGGCAACCGTAGCCGGTATAGGAAATATGGATAACCAAAAACATTCCACACCATGAAGAACGGCTCTCACAAACTTCGTTCTCCCCTCATTTGTCAATGAATATAATTCAAATTAGAGTATATTCCTTGTGGGAACTATACTCTAAATTCACTCAAAACTATTACTTGTCAATGATCTCTAGTGGTTGCAAGATTTTATTGAATAAGTTTTTGGCGCTGTTGTGAAAGAATAGATTTAAGTTTGAATTTATTAGTTCTTAACTTGATTTGAAATTTTATTTTTTTCTTTTGGTTACACTACTATCATCTTGTTTACTCTATCTTATTTTCTCTGATCTTTTCAGGTGCTTGCACAGTGATATATGCAATATTTGAAAGATCTTGACCTCCTACTAGTAGGTCCAGAGATCGAGAGAACTTCAAATAGTAAAAAAGAAACACAGAGAAGCAAGGGAGATATAACAAGAAGAAGAAATGGTAGTAAATAGAATTCTAGCTACTCAACCAGTTGTAGAAGTAGTTGATAAATGAGCATGTTACTTGGGGATTTCATGATCCCACCCTGTGGTGCACAGCCATTCTAGCATCACATATCCTCCAAATGGATAGGAAAAATTTGAATTTCGACAAGATGTAATCAATTTATTTAAAAATCACATTCAGTTGCGATTTTATGGCAAAG